TATTCTGTTAAATATGTGCAAATTGATACATCATTCGCCGATGCTCCCAATCTTGAATAATTCTCCTTGGAGCATTTTCTCTAATCGCTCCTGTTTCTCTTTCATGTCCACTTTGAGCTCAGTGTTGTATAAAGCAATTAGCACCTGAAACAGCTCCTGGGAGGAGCTAAACTGTGTCTATTATAGTCTTGTGTGTACCCGAATGGATCAGCAGCAGAGATGTGTACTTAACTCTTAAGTTGAGGCTGACGTCACACGAGACTCAGGTGTAATGTAATTAGCTATTAAGCTGTATGTAATAAACCTTTGCTGTTTATCAAGATTGAGTCTACCTTCTGACAAAGACTGTGTATGGACATTTTCCCCACTTAATATCAGTAACTTAGACTAATTCCAAGCAGAGAATTGCTGGTAGTGAATTTGCCCAGGGCATCTCCAGTGGTTCCAGAGAACACAAGGAAGAATTACCTTTAATGATCAAGTATGATTGTTGTCTGGACATATTGTCTTAACTCAAATTCCCGTGCGGTTTTGTCTTTGTATTTCATGTGCCTCATTTTAACATCAAATTTTGGATATAATCATATGAATACTATAGTGAGCCAGTTGTATGGTTCATTTTAAAAGACGTCATCTTAATTATTTTGTATTACTTAATTTTGAATGTAGATCTCTCACTCACACTTAAGGTACCATGCCATGTTGGATCATTGTAAAACACCAGTCTAAGGGGTGGGGGCTAAAGAATTGCAGATACTTCTTATCCACTGTTCTATCTTACTTTGTCAATATATTACATGATCCAGTACGTTTTCATCTTTCTATTCTGACATGTATTTAAAAGTGCCTGTGACTGAAGTATGTTTTATACATAGGTTTACAGAGGGTACACTGTACAGAAACAGGTAATTCAGCACAACTAGTCAATACTGGGGTTTTTGATCCATTGAAGCCTTTTCCCACCCTTTATTTATCTAAATCTATCATTATAACCATCTTCTCCCTCAAATGCTTCTGTAGTTACTGTTAGTTTCATTCATCCATAGTATTGATGCCTTTGTAGACTTCAGGAGAAATCGCTGGCTGCCTGTCGCTCCTACTGTTTGATATGAAAATGATTGTGTGTTGTAGCTTCACAGGGTTAGTACTGTATCTTTAGGTGTACTTGGTGCTGGTCCTGTTTTGGTCCCATCCAGTTGTTGAACCAGTATTGATGGACTAGCTTGATGGTAAAATTAGAGTGACAGATATGCCAGTCTATATGGTTACAGATTGTGGCTGAATATAATTTTGCTGTTGCTTATGGCCCAGACAGCCTCATGGATGCCCAGTTTTGAGTTGCCAGACCTATTCTGAATTTATCCCATTTAGCACTGTGGTGGTGCTGTACAATACGATGAACATAGTATGAAGCTGTGATCTTGCCTTCATAACGGTGTCAATAATTTCATCAATAGATGCATCTGCAACAGGTAACCTAGTGAGGGAAGGGGCAAGTAGTTTTTTCCTTCTTATTGATTGCCTCATCCCACAGACCAAGTCTAACAGCTATGTCCTTTATGGCTCTGCCATGTCAGTCAGCAGCAGTGCTATTGAGCCACTCATGGTAAGCATTGAATTTCTCACTCAGATATGCCCTGTGTTCTTGCTAACCTCAGTGTTTCTTCCAAGTTGTGCTCAGCATGGAATAGAATGAATCAGCTTCTGAGAGAGGACAGGTAATTAGCAGGAGATTTCCTTGGCCATGTTTGACCTGATACTGTGTGACTTCATGATCTGAGGAGTCAGTGTCACGGACTTCCTGGGCAACTCCCTCCTGAACGTATGCCATCGTCATTAGTGAGTTTTCCCTGCCAGTGGGACAGGTCATAACAAGGGAAGGTGATCAGCTGTAATGGATGATTCAGTGAGTATGACCATGTCACACTGTTGTTTGATTCATCTGTGAGACAGCTGTCTCAAATCTGGCACAAGTCCTTGGATGTTAGTGAGAAGGACTTCAGGGTTGACTGAGGACAATGTATTATTGTTGGGTCCAATGCCGAGCTTGATGCCACATGGCCATCCACTTTTATTCCTTTTGACTACTCTGTACAATGAGAAGCTTGCTCAGCCATTTCAGACACCAGTTCGGAGTTTGAGAATCTGAAGTTACATGTTGACCAGACCACGTAAAATGGAACGTAATCACGTAAGTGACAGGAATATAATATAGTTTATAGCCTTCACATGACACTGCTTGGAGACCAGAAAAGGCACCAGTTTGCTTTTTATGATCACAAGATATATAAATCTGATTTAGAGATTAAATACTCTTGAAGTTCGGTTGATCTGTGATACGCGGTGGAAGGCAGCCACTTTGCACACTGCAGGCTTCCACAAATAGCAGTGAGAAAATGACCAACTCATCTCGTCAGTGAAGTTGGGATAAGTATTGACCAGGACACTCAAAAGGACTGTCCTGCTCTTTTTTTGAAATAGTGCCATCTGACAAATAGTGCTCTGATTTAACGACCAGAATCTCCAACAATGCAGCATTTATTGATATTGAAGTTGGGAGTGTCAGCCTGGAGCCACATTATTGCAGACATGAAACTTTCAGACCTTTTTTTTAAAATGTATTTTTCTGGCAGGTTGCATGGTGCTTTCACCCTTCTTGCTGCTAGCAGCTGGTCTCACCAAAGCAGTATCCAGTAGAACGCACTGATCCTCATTCCAAAAGTACAGAACCCATTTCTTTGAGCTCTATCTTGTCATTTCTATGCAAAAGAGCGTATGCAAACACTGCAAGTCACTTTCCAATATTTCCTCAAATACCATCACTGAAATTAACATTTTAAAAATTGGAAGATGCACCTCACTTGCATCCCAGAGTTAATGTACCTGTTCTAGTTTGTTATGGAGAGCTGTGGTGGTTGGACCAAGGCACAGAATATGGTTACACTACCAACAAAATCCCTGATTCATCATTGACTTTTCCACCAAAACTAGGCATGAGAAGATGTGAGATTGCAAATGCATGATGCACACTAACTATTCCAAAGAATTTCTGCCCATGACTTGACTGTGGCTTTCTCTACACAATGAGGAATCAATTAGGCACTTCATGATATTTATCTGAGTTTGACACAGTTGTAGCTGCTTGTTCATTCTCCTCCAGGCAGATTTGTTTTAATGATGGCTGTATTTATCTGTGTTCCTAATTGTCTTTTCTCCCTCAATTAGTACTTTGTTCAGCGTATCTTTAACTAGGAGTGAGTAATAGATGTGTTGCCAGTGTAATTTTAATGTGTATATAATATGTTCTCTTTTGAGTTGATTTTGCCTGTAATCTTAATGATAAAATTCCTAAAATAAATAAAACTGCAATTAAACAGTAGATTAGCTTTGGGACACGAGAGGTGACAGGGTTCGGAAGAAACAAATCTGGCTTATTTTAATGTTGCATTGAAGTCTGAGTTGATTTTTGATGTAAAAATGCAGTTCTGATTGGATCCTCAGTATAAATTACGTAGAATAGCATAGGATATATAGTACAGAAATATGCCATTCAGCCCCAGCAGATTATCCTGCCAGTTATGTTGCAGACAGTAGTTAAGTCAATCATCATCACTCCCTATTCCAGAGTTTAGGACCTTGGAAACTTAAAGCGAGAATCTAGAATTAGAGAGGCACAGATATCCTGGAGGATTGGAGAAGATTATAAAACCAGGAGGTGGAGTTGTGGGTGGGGGGTTATGTTTGAAGAGATTAGAGAATTACAATGAAAATTTTTAAATCTTGGCAATGCTAAACTGAGAAGCAAGATAAATCAGAGAGCACAGATTGATAGATGGAGGGAACGTGAGTTAAGACAAGAGAAGATGATTATTAGATCACCTCTGGGTTATCGGGGGTAAGACCTGGGAGAAAACAAAAAATGCTGGAGATCACAGTGAGCCAGGCAGCATCCATAGAGAGAAAGCAAGCTGACATTTCAAGTATAGATGACTCTTCCAGAGGAATTGAGATTGAGTTGGAATGGTCAATCTAGATGTAACAAAGGCAAGGATTTGATCTTTGTCGTTCCCACATGACCTGAGTTTCTCATTATTGCCCTTTTCTCCTTCTTTTTCATCTCCTCTTCCTTTAAACACACCTTAAAGCCTGTTTTGGTTAAAAGCATTTTGGAGCATTTTACCACATTACAGACACTATGTAAATAAAAGTTGATTTCACTGACTCCCTTCTGCTAAAGTGTGACTGACTGACTGATTGTAGGAGCTGTTCAGTTCTTAACCAGTTTAATGAATTGTATGCCTCAAATATGTGAGTGTTTACATTTCACAAGTGTCTGCTCTGTATGAAATGTTTGAGAAAGCATGAAAGGGAGAAGCTGTAGGGTCTTGTTTACTCTGTCCTCTTCCTGCAAAAATAACAGCTACACTCAGTGCCAGAGTTCCAAAGCAATCAGGCTGTTTGCCAGCAGTTTGCATTACAATGATATTTAGGAGAGACGGGTTCCTGGAACTCTCAATTCCTGAAACTAATCTGTGTGTATCTACATGTAAATGAAAATTGTTTTTCATATCATTAATGAACATGTACTATAGCTTAATGTTACATTTCTTGGTCTTCCCATGGAATTTTGTTTAGAGAATCTGTGGGCGCCACACAAGACCTTTTTAGAATAGTTGGATGGCACAGTTCAACTTCTGTAATTTACAACCAATATTTCCGCGCCTAAATACAATGACATGCTTGGAGTTCAAACTGAATTCGATGACTGTCGGAGGAAATGTATGGCAAAGTTTTCTTAAAAATATTGTGCTTTTGTACACCCAATAGCATAGTGCATTGATTGTAGGATCTATGTTGGCAGTATTTAGTTTTGTTAATTTGCCATTCAGTAGATCTTTGCAGATGCTGCTTTGTGTCATGATATCTATAGGATATTGGTTTCATATTTGAACCCATTCTATTTTACAAGTGAAATTTTCTGTCTGTCTTTTAAGGTTTCGCTAAGTGTCCAAACATGGGTGACATGAAGACCCCAGATTTTGATGACCTCCTAGCTGCATTTGACATTCCTGATCCAGACCTCGATGCCAAGGAGGCTATCCAGTCGAGCAGTGAGGAGGCAGAAAGTCATCTGAAGCAAGCAGGGATGGGTATAGATGAATTGTCTATGCACCACCCCATACCCGATGTCCCAGTGGTGAGTGTTATTGTTAAGAACACCAGCCGACAAGACTCCTTCGATTCCATCACTGAAAAGGATGTCCACCCACTTGGACATAATCTACTTCAAAATGGGTTTCGGAATTCTGATATTGCCTCTGATACCCATAGTCTTGGAAATAGTTACAGCAAGATGGTCACTGCTTTCATCAATGGAGATAGTTCCAGAAGCTACTCCGATAAATTTGACACACCAAGGTCAGAAGCTCTACCAGCATTCAGTCAGTTTAGCCCTATTTCTAGCCCAGAGCCAGAAGAAACCATTCAGGATGCTAATGTTGTGGATAACATGAAAAGAGATGAGAGACCTTACCTTGGTTCTGTAGGCCTATACGTTTCTACAGAGAATTCTTTAATGGACAGGCCAAGGGAACGGCCTGAACAAGCTGTGACTGAGCTGAGCATGTTTGATGAATATTCTAAAAAACGAGAGAAAGCAAATGAGATTAGAAACTGTAACATGAAGGAGGCCAGCTTGGGGCAGAGGGCAAACTCAATAAATGTATCTGAAGGTGCAGAGAAAAATGACAAGGACTTTGATAAAAGCAACAGTTTGTTTGACAGCTTGCAGCCATCACATGACCTCCATAAAAATAATGTAGAAGAGCCAAAGAGCAGCAGTGTTCCGGAGATGAGCTTGTGTTCTTCTGTCCCACCTCGCCAGCGTTTAAAATCAGATCATTCAAAGCTGTCTTCTTGCTTAGCAGCATTAGTAGCTCTTAATGCCAAAAAGACATCAGAATTCCCAAAGGAAGAACAAAAAGAAAACTTTAAAGAATCCTTGTTGGCTTTGAAAGATGGGATCAAGAGCAGCCCCAAGATGGCAAAGTCACCAAAGAGTCCGAGAAGTCCAATGGAGGGAGTAAAGAAAATGATAAATAAACAGCCTGATAGCCCAAAGAGTGTGTCCAGTGACTACAGTGGCAAAAGTTCCCCCTACGTTGCAACAGGTTCACCACCAGCCATCCCGAAAGTAAGAATCAAAACCATTAAAACTTCCTCTGGTGAAATTACCAGGACTGTGACAAGAATAATGCCAGACTCAGAACAGAGTGAGTCAAGGAGTTCGCCAGAACAGTCACTGACTGAAATGGCTTTCACTGAGGAGTTAAGTTTAAGATCTAGTCCTGTGACCATTTCGTCGTCACAGACCCATACTTCAACAACAGTGGAAAACGGAAAGAAGCAAATGTCAACCAGAAACCTGGCTGATGCTGTCAGTTCTTTGTCTAGTATACCTGTCAAAGGACCTGAAAACGTAGATGACAACAGCAACTTGAAAGCCATAGCTGTAACAAACGTACTAGCTGAGGATGCCAGCAGTGCCACCATGAAAGTTGCTGGCATGCCCCAGCAGAAGCAGGCTGCAGTAAAGCACTCATCTAATATCTCTAGTACAAGTCTTCTGCCAAAAGCTGTTCACCTGGCAAGCCTTAACTTGGTTCCACACAGCGTTGCAGCTACTGCTACTGCAAGGTCCAGCACTTTGCGGCAGAGCCAACAAAAGATTGCCACTCAGGTGGTAACAGTGCCACTGGTACAACAAGTCAAGAATGTGGTTCCACAACATAATGAATCTTCTACTTCAAATCAGAACATTGTTGTCGAAGCTTTTAACAAACTGTTAAATAGTACAAATCCTGTGCCAATCTATGCTCCAAACCTTAAACCACCTGCAAACAGTAATGTAACCATGCCAGCTCGTGGCTATCGTTGTTTGGAATGTGGAGATGCATTTGCTCTAGAAAAGAGCTTATCACAACATTATGAGAGGCGAAGTGTCCACATTGAGGTGATGTGCAGCCATTGTTCCAAAATGATGGTATTCTTCAACAAGTGCAGTTTGCTTTTGCATGCACGGGAGCACAAAGGCAAAGGTGCAGTTATGCAGTGCACTCAGCTACAGATGAAACCCATCCCTTCAGACCAAATGTTTTCAGCTACCCCAGTGACATCTTCTGTTCCGTCTGGTCCTCCTGCCCAGGCTACGACTCCCTCCCAAACTGTTGGGAGTTTGACAGTAATTGGGGTTGACAACCCAGCTTTCAGTCATCCTGCCATGCCTCTGCGCTGTGATTCACTTCGATTAATACGCCATGGCTTAAAATGTCTTGAATGTTACCAGCAATTCCAGGATTACAACAGCCTTGCGGGCCATTACCAACAGATGACAGATGATGCTGAGACACCAGTAAGTGAATTCAAACAATGTAGAAGATCATTTTATTTCATTAGAGGAAAGGGCAGTGCATGCAACATAATTATGTACAGTTTAAGAATATTTATCCTGTACTGCTACTGCTTGAAAGAGTTTATTTCTATTTTTTGCACTCTATTGTAAGGTAGCTTAGGGCTTTGAAAATAATAAACCAAAGGGCCTCTTCCTGTGCTGTCAAAAAAATCTGTTTTAAAAAAAAAATCAGCCATCAGTATCAGCATAACCAGTCACACACACAGTTCTTTCTTATCTGTTCTTACGCCTTATGTATGACCTGTCCTTACCACATAAGTATGACTTGTTACGTGCTCATGTAGGTGCACTTTTGTATTGTCAGACCATGCCCCTGGGAATGAGATCCAAATTCCCAAATTCACTTCACGTAAAATCTTTACAGCCCATGATCAGAGGAGAGTTTCACCACACCAGATTTTAATCTTTTTTATTGATTTATAGGAAGAGGACATCAGTGGTAAGGCCAGTATTTATTGTCTATCCTTAATTGCCCTTTAAGGTGGTGGTTAGCTGCCACCTTGAACTGCTGCCATCCGTTTGGTATAGGTAGACCCTAAGGCCATTAAGGAGGGAGCTGTAGAATTTTGGCCTAGCAACGTTGAAGATCAGCAATATATTTCCAAATCTAGATGATGCTTGGCCTGGAGGGGAACTTGCAGTAGTAGCGTTCCATGTATCTGCGGCCTTCATCCTTCTAGATGATATTGGTGTACGTGTGGAAGGTGTTTACCAACCATGAAGTGCCTTCTAAATCTATTGTAACCCTTCATTCCAAAGTGTCGTTCACTTCTGAAATGATGATGCTTAGATTTCAGAACACAGTCTGCAAATTAACACCAACTCTTTTTTTTTTCCGCTCTCCATTGTCTCACAGTCCATGCATAATTCTCTGATCAAACGGCCTGCCAGATACGCCACTGAAAACCTTTACATGTATTACTGAGTCACAAGAAGATGCACAGCATGTTGCAAAGTGGATAAAGAAAAATCCTAACCTCAAGTGTGCATTTCCTTCAAATGGCTTGGCCAAAATCAGTTGCTCAGAATTAATAAACTGGAGCCAAACTTAAATCGGCATTATGGATACCTATGCTGGATTCGAGAACGAAAGATCTACTCTCTCACCTCGTACACAATAGCAAGAAAGCCCAGATTAAGGAAACTAAGCACTTGGCATGCACATTAATATTTTGTCATATGTTACAGATAGGTGGTTTCGAACTTCCACAAGTCTTAGGTCATTGTGCCAATTAATTCTACACCCACCTGTTTAATTCTCATTATTGGATTGAGGCATATTCCAAATACTGCTACTAATACAGGAAATTAAGCAGAAGTTGACCATCTTAGACCTTGAGCCTGCTCCTCCATTTAATAAGATCATGGCTGATCTGTTTGTTTTGAATTCTACATTCCAGTCTACCCTTGATAATCTTTGATTCTCCCTGCATAACATGAATCTATCTACCAAAGTCTCAAATATGTTCATTGAACCCATTCCCACCAACTTCTGAGGAAGTGTTCCAAACTCTCAATCTTCTTAGGGGGAAAAGAATTCTCCTCTCTTTCATTTAAGGGCATCCCTAATTTTAAAAAGTGCCCATTAGCTCTGGATTGACCCACAGGAGGAAACATTGTTTTCACATCTGCCTTGTCAAGACCATTCAGGATCTTATACACTTCAATCAAGTCACTTCTTATTCTTCTAAATTTGAGTGGAAACAAGCCTAGTCTGTCCAACCTGTCCTCATAAGACAACCCACTCATTCCAAGTATCAATACAATAGAGTACAATAAACCTCCTGTGAACTGCCTCCAATACATTCATGTCTTTCCTTAAATAAGGACACCAAAACTGTGCACAATATTTGAGATACATCTATGCAGATGTTTTGGGTTAGAGGACCAGTAGAGCCAATTTCAGTTGAAATGTAGTATATCCAAGAGCTTTAACAACATGAATGTATGAAGCAAGGTGTGTCATTGTTTTTATATAGCAACAGAGCATCTTTGTGTGGGACTCTTGAGGTGTCAGGAATTTCTTATGGAGAGAGATTGAGGAGACTGGATCTGTATTCTCCAGAGTTTAGAAGAATGAAAGGTGATCTTATTAAGGCACACGAAGTTCTTACAGGGCTTGATTGAGTAGTTGCAAGATTGGTGTCCCCCAGGCTGGGGAGTGTGGACAACCCATGGAATAAGCAAACATTTAGAACTGAAATTTGGAATTTCTTTGCTGAGGGTCGGCAAGTCTTTTGAATTCCCTACCCCAGACAGCTGAGTGCTGTGGATGTTCAGTTATTGAGTGTGTTCAAGACAGGGTCTGATAGATTTCTCGATACTAAAGACATCATATTTCATAAGAGTTTCTAAGGTTTCCATCATTAGCCTGTGCAGGCTGGTGGGCATCCAGCATTTAATGTTTACATATGGCTGTTTGTCAAGTGATGAATTTCACCCACAGCTCTCATGAGAAGAAAAGTGCCTGTGTGTAACACTATGCTTGTGACTTCTAGATGTTTCTGTGAGGGATTTGATCAATGTTTTCAAGATATTGTTGAGGACTAGGGGCAACATCTAAAAATTAGAACCAGACCTTTGAGGTGTAAATTTAGAAAATGCTTCTATGTACAAAAATTGATAGAAATTTGATTCTTTCTTCCCCAAATAGTAATTGATGCTAGATTGATGAATTTTAAATCTGAGGTAAATAGATTCTCTTTCACCAAAGGTTTTCATGGAATACGGTGTTGTAGAAAGGTCTGAAAGAGTTAATACTAAGGAGAACCTGAAGCACCATTGATTGATTGTATCACATGTAACAGGTTTGGATCTCAAAGGAGTTAGGCTTATACGTCTCTAATGATGTCTATCGTACTATGTAACTAGTTGCTGTAATTCAATTCTGTCTATCTTGTTTAAGGTGAGAGACTCCACTTGTTAGACTACCAGGTGGTTTTCTTCTATCACAAGACCAAGCAGGTCCAGTAAAATCCCTGATAACAAGGTGTAGAGCTGGATGAACACAGCAGGCCAAGCAGCATC